GAGATAAGTTGATTATAAAGCTGCCCCAGTGCGATTGGGTTCACTGAATGGGCCTGTCTAGCCATGACCTTGGTGTTGCACGGAAGTCATTCCTTGCGATTGCCACGAATCGGTTATTCTAACCATTCAAAAGAAGGTGGATACATGGGGGACAATCAAACAGTAATTATCTGTTTCATCATTTTCTCAATATTCATAGTTCCATTGCGTACGTGTGAGAATCAAGTTTGTTGGAAACCTGGAAGATCCTGCACAAACCATGATTTTAGTAAGCATGAAAATTCCTGAACATGGGCACCGTATTCGTTGAGCTCACTATTTCTGTCGTTCTCCGTCTCGGTCTAAGTCTACAGCAGTACTTGCTAGTGTGGACTTCTGGAGGAGTGAGTCCGAGAAGATCAGTTCAATTTTACCATTTTGTGTAAACGAATAACCAAAACCGCGTTCGAGTTTACTACTCGTTATTCATGATTCAAATACTGAGAGGGTTTTTTGTCAGGATTGCCTTCGGCACCTTTTTCAACAATATCATCATATAATTCCATTTTGACTTGCGAGAAGCAGAATGTATGAAGTGAGCATCATGATGCAGTGTAATATTGTACACTGGGTAGTGACAGAAGCACTCAAACTAAAATCAGCTTGTTAATTCCGTGTTTAAAGATAATGTATTCATTTTTAGAGTTCGGGGAAAAAATAGAAGCACGAAAAACAGTATCAGATGATCGGGCATGAAACTTACAAAGTGGATGGATAACGGAAGAGGTAAGTTTATTGAAATGAAACTAGTGAGGCGACAGAAAGAGATAAACAAACAAATAGGCGATCACTTCGATATGAACAGGTGTTATATTAGGGCTCATTGTCCGTGGGTGCTGACAAGATAAATTTGATTGAAAGGAGGAGGAATGCATGAAGCTCTGCCCCTTATTTGAAAGCACTATTTTTAATGATTGGGAACTTGGAATGGTGAGATGTGAGTCAACTTACACGCACAAGTGTTTAATGGGAGAAGACAACGACTGTCTAGATAGTTTCACGGGATACAGGGAGGGTGCATTTGGGTCTCAAATCATTGAAGGGGAAACGGTTTGTGTTTAATGGAAATAGACACAATGAAGATACATGTTGAGGTCAGCGGTACCGATAGGTGCTTGTGGTAACGGAGTGAAGAGGAACAGAACAGTGAGAAGAGTGTAAAGGCGATTGTTTTTGTGACACTGTCAATCGGGTGGTTATTTGTTTTTGCTCTTCTCGCCGATTAACGGATAAACCACCAAAAGACAGCAATAACTTTTGCTCAACCACTAATCGAAACTTTAGAAACAACAGTATTCAAGTGCAGCAACTACGGTGATGCGAACTGAACATAACACATTGAAGAATTTGAACGAAAACGCAATATTCAAGCAGTTACAGCAGTGTAGGTGAATAACAACTTACCAAGCTTTAGGGCCTCTTCATAGTGACCGTTTTCATAGTACAAACCCATAAGCCTAGTTTCCAACGCTTGACGTAGAAACACTCGGCGCTCTTCATTGGCCCAGTTAATGCATTCGCGACATAATTCGATTTCTCGTCCAGTACCGGCTTCCAGATCCAAAAAGAGGTCAACTAATGCACGAACCAGACGGCCAGCTTTGGCCTTACTAACTTGTTTTAGAAAGGGCCTAGTGAGTACTATGAGATCAGCCAGACCTAGAAATGAGAGAGAATGAGAAAAACTAAACAAATGGACCAAGTGCAATGAATTATTTACTTGAGCGATACTAAGTAATAAATCCAGTATTGTTAAAGTACCACAATGACGGGATGTTGGATCAGTGAATAGCAGTTTCATTTATTTTGTGAATCGTTAGTGGTGCACATCCATTGGGTTTGTAACTACACGAACCTGAACGTGAAGGATCGCATAGAGTTGAGGTAGTCATGAGATCAAAAATACAGAACTACACAGATGAAGTGAAGCTTGGCGCATTAACCTAACTTCATTGGAAGATAACTTGAGTGAAGATGCATCATCTCATATACCGTTAGGTCTGAGGACAAAGTATCGGCTCTAAACGCTCTTGAAAGGTGCTGTTTTCCAAATTCCACAGGTACCT